TTGACAGGAGTAGAAAGTGCATAAAGCTGCAAAGCCTGATCTGTGTCTGTGCACTGCCTAGGCGGGCCAGCTGCTTATGGCTGCCTACTTTTTCTCTCAACAGCCTCAGAAGATGAAGAAATTATGGTCCAGTTCTGGAATGACAAGAAAGTGAGACTTGCGCGAGGTGTGGCTCTGTGGGTCCCTCCTAGCCTGTGGGAGAGGATTGTAGAGATGATCCACCTGCCCTTCACCAGCAGGGTGAAGCCCAGAGAAAGTCTGGACACTGACTCTTGTATTTTTTCCTGCAGTCCTAAAACAGTCCTGATTCCTGTTTGTGCTGTACATAGCCTTGCCAAGCACTGCTTGCTCTTCTTGCCCTGCTGGCCACATTTCCACTATCACTGTGATGGTATATGCTGTTTGTCAGCATATGTGAGGTGCATCTGCTGCTGCCATCCCCGTGTTGATGCCTGGTGGCCTCTTCCATCCAAGTCTCTGGTCTTTCAGAGTGAAACTGAAGAGGGAGACTCCAGCAGCGAGCCCTCTCCATGCCTTCTAGAACTGAAAGGCCCAAAACAAGAAGCAGCAGCAGCTGTAGCAGCATCTTCCCCCTCTTCTGATTCAGAGTGGGACCTGGAGCCATTCCCCACTAAGAGTACCGTGGTGGACAGTGCTGTTAGCACAGGCTCCAGCTGTCTTGAGAAGCCCAGGCTAAAGGATTCTGCAAGACCTGAGTGGAAATACTGGAAAAGAAGCCACCACAAGTCCCATCCCAAAAATTCAGGTACCTTTTAACACCCCCACAGGGAAGCAGCAGCCAGAGGGAAAAAAAAAACAAATGTGTTCTGGGGCCCCCTTCCTCTGGGCACTCACTTTGCCTGTAGTTTATTGGTATAAATACTATACACTTGCGTATCGGTCTCTGATACAATACTTCCCCCTCCCCAACGTTTCTGCTGCTTCATCTTGCATGCTAGCTCTTCTTTTGGCAACTCTTCCAATGGAAAACTACCAGAACAATCAATTTCATTTGGAAGCATAGATATCCCTCTCTGAGTTCGTTCCCCATCATTTTCCTATGCTTTTTATGATGCTAACATCTTCATTAACTTTTGTAGCTAGTCCATGCAGAATAACCTGAAAGAATTCCTTTCAAGCTTAAAGTGCATTTCCCTCTCTTCTGAAATGAATGTTTCTCCATTTCAGTTCTGGTTTCACTTAGATACAATTTTACCCCTTCCCAGGACTTGGCAGTTGCAGCAGGACATGTACAAAGGGCAAGCTGGAATCCAAAGCCATCTCCGTTGGGGACATGTCCTGTGTTGCCCCGACTAATTGGAGTGCAATGTTTGAAACCATCGAGCAGTCTCCCAGAGGGCAACTCACAACGGAGGAAATCTTAAGAGACCAAGATTTCAAGCCGTCATTGGGAGCAAAGTAATCTGTATTAATACTGTATTTATGTAAGCACGGGGTTTGTTTGAATGGAAGAAATATTCTTTTTAGTGGTCTGGAAGTTGGCTAGAAAAATACATTGTTTCTAACTTAACTGCTCACTAAGGCCATCCACCATTTTTTTGATAGACAGGAAACTTCTCCACTAATTAAAACAAAACAAAAATCCCCAAACCCTAAGAAAGGGCTGAAGCTACTTGGTAAAATGGAAAAGATTATGCCAGTAACTGTGTGAGCATTCAATAATGCAGATTTCAATTCAGAAACCTGCCAGATGCCCATTGCCATCAACCCAATGAAGTCCTATGGAGGTAGGGACCTAAATGAGTGGCCCTGGAAATCGACAGATATGACTGTCAGCAGCAATAAAACACAAGAAAAGATTCGATCTGGAAAGGTGCTGGGCTCTGCCAGTCAAACTCTGATAGTCACGATCTCTATCTCTGAAAGATAAAAGCAGATTTTTTAGTAAACAGTCTTTACTGAGTATTTTCTCTTACTCCCTCACAAGAAGCAAGCAGTTTAAACAGCAGATCCCTACCCTGAAGCTAGGGGGTACAGAGTAAGCAAACTGTGTCACAGCCAGGAACAAGGACAACACCCTGATTTTTAGGCCTGGTTTCTGTTGGCCATGGTTCCCTCCTGCTTTAGAAAAACTTGGTTTTTTAGTAAACAGTCTTTACTGAGTATTTTCTCTTACTCCCTCACAAGAAGCAAGCAGTTTAAACAGCAGATCCCTACCCTGAAGCTAGGGGGTACAGAGTAAGCAAACTGTGTCACAGCCAGGAACAAGGACAACACCCTGATTTTTAGGCCTGGTTTCTGTTGGCCATGGTTCCCTCCTGCTTTAGAAAAACTTGGAAAAAAAAAAAAATCAGAACATGAATGCTAAAAAAAGCAAGCACAGAAAAGAGGAAGAAAAAAGCTTGCAGGAAGAAGGGGAAGATGAAAGAGAATGATAGGATGAACAGAAACACTGCTCTGCACAAGAGCATCAGCATCAGGGGTACAATTAATAAATATCAGAAATCAAATACTAGCTCCTCTGTACCTTCATGCTCTTGCTACTGTGAGCTGACTGCAGAATAAAATTTTGAATGTGCTAAACTTGCATGATTTTCTTTAGGATAACATTAATCTGTTAATGACATGTCTTAGTGAACAGAGAATATACTGGAAAATATCTTGTATTCTCACAATTATATGCATTAATTTTAAGCAGATGTCTACCAACTTATTAACAGTATGGTTGCTACTTTATTATTTAAATAATCATAATTACATACCTTAGTAATTGATTTCCTAGGAATTTTTAGGCCAGTATGGCGCTCCAGGCAGACATGCTCTATGTTAGCAAGTATAACACAGCTGTGCACTGAAGTGACATGCTTTGCCTTTTGGTAAAACTAAAAAGAAACCAGAGTGGTTTCATTCCAGCCCCAAACCGGCAGCATGAATTACAGTAGTGGACACAATGTGGTAATGCAGAGTATAATGATATATTTTTATTCCTGTAAAATAGCCCTTGGTGTTTTTAAGCCCAGAAGACACATTGTTAGTCCTTGAGATAGCTGAAGCAGTTTTTATCATATAATACGGACGGCATCAGAAGTAACTTGCAACAAACAAGTGAAGCTGGAGAGGAGGCTTCCCAGAGGTGCTCTCTGTGGGGCTAATGTCCTCCCACTATAGTCACCAAAAAATCCTCCTAACTTCTAAAGGAGCAAAGTTTTTGGTCAAAGCCTAACAGCTTCTGAAAATCCTTTGGTCTTACTGTACACTTTTGTGTTTCAGCAGTAAAGTTTGTACTAGCACAGAAATGATACCATTATTAAAGCTATGTGAGGCAGAGGTACCTATCTTACAGCCAGGAAAGCAGCAGTTACAGAGACACTGATGCTTTTTTCAGACTAGACTTCCAAGGGGTTTGTTTTCTGTCCTCCAGGAAGAAGGTTTTGCAGCATCAGAAAAGCAAAGATATAAAACAGGTGAAAGAAAACAGTCAGATGATAAATGTAAAGCGGCTTGCATAGGAGACGACAAACTTGACGATACAGACCATGTCAGAAGAGGACAGACAGAAAAAAGAGCAAAGATCTCACTTGCAACAAAGCAGAGAGAGACATGATCAACCAGAATTCAATAAATGTACAACTGATGAAGTTCAGGAACTGAAATTTCAGGTAAACTGCTTATGCTATCTCAGTGTTACATTTAGTAAGCAGATCAAGTTCTGATTTAGGTATTGTCTCTGTATAATATCTTTATGGGTAACTGTATGATTTTAATAACTGAGAAACTCTATTTCCACCCACATCGAATTTCAGCATCCTCATTCTTTACTCCAAGGTGTTATATTAAATTAAATTCCTAATTATTTGGACTTGACTCTACAATTCTGGAGAGATCAGGTAAACTAGTATGAGCACTAAAAACCTGAACAGATGCACAGCAAGGGTCTAATAAACCTCCGATTTGCCTACAGTTCTCTGGAGACAGCCAGAGGAATTCAGCATAGCAATTTCTTTTTGTAGGAAGCCAGAATGAATGAAAAAACAACACACGCTGACAGCTGAAAATACTTTTTTCAGGATTAAAGCAGAAGAGAAAGTAGCCAGAGGGTAAAGGACCTGCTACTGTAGATACAAACAACAAAATGCTTAGAGAATCCAGCATTCAAGTCAGTGAATTTTATATACCCATGAAAATTAACTGAAACCTTAATACCATCAGCTACAAAAAGATTACAGGTATATATAGGTCATGTCACTAATTCCAACCATGAAATCTGATCCTTCAGGAGAGTTAAGCATCCAGAGAGTCTCATTAGTGGGACTGCTCGTGTTTAAAGCGTATGAACTTGGCCATAAGCTGCAGTGTGCAGTTGCTCAGCAGTACTTTTCCCCTGCAGGAATTAGGAGACAATTCAGGGTACCCTACCGCATACTGAAAAAGGCAGCTAACTGGTGTTTAGCCTAGGTAAGAGCCTGCAAAGAGACAGGACTTGAAGTGTCAATAGTTTATGTGCCTATACTGAACACCTGACACATATTCAAGCACCTTCCTGAGTTGAGGTCCTAGATAGTGAATTTCATTTGCGTTTTATTTATCAGAATAATAAAAGTACAGACAGGAGAGATGTACTGTGAGCCAGCTGCTCTAAAATCAGTGCCAGCCCACAAAAGCTACTGTACATCATATTCATACCACATGGATCATGCTCTCTGTGGTCAAGAATGTGACGCGGATGTTCTGTCTGAGGAGAATATAAAAGAAGCTGTCGTGACAAAGACTAAATTATGTATTTTATTCCACTGATTGTATCTTTAATTGTTTAAAGCATAAGAACCTCGAATTACACAGTCACATAATTGGATTTAAGGCACACAATGTACAAGTATTTATAAAAGCAGTGTACAAAGTGGGCTGCATATAATTGCATTAAGTATAAAACAAATATACAGGCCACAAAAATGGAGTCCCAAAGAGGAGGATACTATTAAAGTGCTAACAAGAAAAAGATATACATAGTTCATTACATGCATTAAACCAGCCTTGTATTTTATTCCTGTGATTGCCAAGAAACAACAAACATCATAGAACAAAAGTTAAATCAACACTTTGTCCTGCGTTGACATCCACCACATGGGTTTGTTGCACCATGTCCTCTGAGGTTGCTGTGACAGAATAGGTGCCAGGAGAAACTTCAATGTAGATGTCTTCGGAAGCTTGTCTGGTCTTTTTTTGGGGAAAAAAAAAGTTTCATTACTGTTTAGTCATCTTAAATTTCCCACAAAAATAAAAATTTTGAATTTGGGTAAAAAAAATTACATTTCAGCTGCTATACAAATGTACTAAGATTTTTCAAAATATACAGGCAGCCTGGACAAAACTGTAAAATGTTTCTGTCAATACTAAAATTAGCAAGTACCATACTCCTCATTTCATCTAATGTTTCAATCAATGAAAATAACCAATGTGCTGTAATCTCTGCCTCACAAAACTGAAAGTTCCCAACCTAAACAGTTTAGAACATAAACATGGAAAACATCCATACAACAAGGGTGCTCCCACTAATTTGTACTGTGGTACAGATTACACGTTTCTCATCTTTTCTGGCTTAGAAGTTCCCAAAATTCATTTGGTGTGAGGTGTTAGGCTTTGAAAAATGAAAAAAGTTTTCTTCTCCTTGAGGAACAGGAGTCTTCAGAGAGACTGTATGAGGGCCAAGCATAACCGGCTAAGCAACTGCCGTGTGCCTTGCTGCAAGCCTTTCCTCAGCACAGGGAATGTGTCAGGAGCACAAATGGGGCGAGACTGGAGAATTGCTGGATTATTGTTGCTGATGCAATTCACAAGAGCCTAAAGACTAATCAGTGTTTGACATTCTGTACGAGTCCAAAATATAAAGTAGACTCTTAACTGGCTATGTGCCAGAATGCCACAATCTGGTTTATAACTAATTGTGCAAGTCTCTGTATGCCCATTCTTCTGCCCACCTACACATACATTAGGATTGTGAATGCACTACTGGTTAATCTTCTGTGCCATCACGAAGTCTCCACACCTGATCACAAATTTTAACCAGCTTGATGCAAAATGATAAATAAATGCTACACCTCAATTTAAAACCAAAGTATTCTATAAACTTACACGTTGCTGGCAAGTTTGAGCTTGACTGGGTGTTACAGAGGCTTCAGTCCTCTGGAAAAAAAAAAAGATAGTTTTCTAATGATACAACACAAAAGGCAAATTCAGCCCCTGAGAGACGGGATGCTTTATGTCCATGAAATTTTCCCTTCCACAAAAGGACTGACATGACACTGATCGGTGCCACCAGAAGTTACTCTGCCTCCCCCCCCCACAACAGAAGGGTCAGATCAGTCCAGGTGTTCACATGCCTATGATGTCAAACCACATACATTACTGTAAGCAAGTGTCACAGACACTAGATGGACAACAACCGTCCCATGGCGAGGGAAGGAATAACCTTTAATCAAAACCAAAACCACCTGCTTACCTCTTCTTCGGAGGACTCCAGCTCTCTTTCCCCTGCTTGCCTGCCATGGTATCTGCAGATGTGTTTGATTTCATGCTCTTTGCATCTACAGGCTGCCATGAAGCTATAGTACTTCTGGAAAACAATAGAAACAGAGAATTATTATGTAGAGAAGCATCAAAGCCATGCTCACAACTACTGCAGATTTACAATTAAAAGTGGAACTGCACAGCTACTGACCTTCTGTATTCGTTGGCTGGTTTGTTCTCGTGTGAGGATGAAAACAATGCCTGGATGTCCACAGGACATCTGCCTTCTGGTACAAAACTGTCAGCCCTGATTTTAGATGCCTGTCTCCCGACACAATATATAGGGACTCTCTGACACCTCAGAAATGAATTCATGAAAACATCAGAAGAAATGCTCTGGAAACATCTACCTGATCAGGCTCTTCAAGAAAAGCTCTGGTGGAAGAAGTCATAGTTTATGGGTCCTTAATAGGATGTATGTGCAAGCTAGGTGCTTTGCAACCTAGTCAGTGAAGACTGGGTCTGCAGGGCATGTGCAAAAGCAGCGCTCTAAAAGCAGAACACTTTAATACTGAAAAATGAGTTGGTGAAGAAGCTGAAGTGTCTTCAAGGCTGGTACCAGTAGCATAGTGTTTTGAGAACTGTATTTAAGTCCACCAGCAGCCCTCTTCTGGTTCCATAGTAAAGGTACTTGTATCTTCCCCACTGCAAATTAAATATTTGAGTACAGCTCTGCTGCCATCTGTTGTCACGAGAGAACTCCTCCCAGGGTTACCTTTTTGATCACAGGGACCAAAAAGTTCCAAAATATCTATTTTATTTCACTTACATTTTCCTTGTCTCTGACTGTCAACACTAAACTTGTGTTTACTGTGGAGCTACATCCCAAAGTACATCAAATACTCTGACCTATTGTGTAACGCTTCACAGAGCATCTCTGTATCACAGGTGGTGGCTGGATTCTTTTACATGACATCACAGAGCAAAGAAATGAAATCAAACTTTTGGTAAGAAATGTGGGTAAACTTTGGTCCCTTAGTGACTCTAAACAGTTCATCTTAAATCACAATTTTAATCGTTTGCATTCAAGTGCCTAAATGGTTATGTTCGGCTGTGGATTTTTATTTGCACTCTGTAAACTTTATCCATGAACTTGTGGGTCTGAGAATTCTCCCCTCCCCAGCCTTTTATGACCCTTCTTCTTTACAGAAGATGACTGAAGCAGTACTGTCTTGGCTGATGCATAAATGTGGAAGTAATCCACTGCTTGTTCCAACTCTAATACTCCTAACAGGGCATAGGATGAGTCTCTATACACCGTTATATTTTTGTTTCATCTTGTGTAAAACTCTACTCTGCCTCAGTTGTTTTAGGATTAACTGGTTACTGTGTACGTAGTGCTTTGAAATGATAAAGGAGTTGCTTAAGAGCTAATCATCTGGGGTGTGTTGAACTACTGTTTTCTCTAATTTAATTGAAGACTTAGCCTCTGTTGTTAACTCTGCAGACAAGAAGCTCCCTGCTGCATCATGATAACAGATCCCAAAGCGCATAGACGATGTAAACTGTGATGGAGTTTTCAGAGACTTTTAACACAGTTGTTGGGCTGCAGGGCTGCATTCACAAGGACGAGCTGGCCGAGACAGGTTCCCGGTCTGTCTACCCAGAAGAGTAATGACACCCGGCAGCCAGAGCCAACATGAAAGCAGTGGAGCTGTGCATCTGTATGCCGTACCTCTCGATTTCTACTTATCACAAATAAAGATATGGTGCTGCTCAGAACTGAGCCCACACTCCTTATCCAGTAGCAACATCCCTAACTGAGTTTGCTTAAACGATACTGGGGAGGTTAACTCTAAATTCAGAGCAAACGTGTGACACAAAGCAATCCCTCTGCTTGAGATTCAAACTCTCCCCTACTTCCGCCACCCAGAACACACTGACTCTATCAGCCAGCATAACTGGTTCATGTTGGCATGATGAAAACAATGGGTTACTCTGTCATAAAGCCACTCCACAGCAGAGGTGCAGAGGTACCTCGCAGCACCGGAAACAACTCTGTGCATAGTGACAAGCGACAAGCCTGCGCAGTTGGTAAGACAATGTAATTTGTGACATCATCTGACATTTCTGTCTCTCTAAGCATATTGCCCTTCCACCAAAAAGTGGAGAAACCCTCTGCTAAAATCTGTACCGGTCTACTGGTACTGTCTATGGAAAATGCTGATGGTGTTTATCAGCTAAGGTGGTGCCAGTTGGTCAAGGATAACACTGGTGAAACCTACCACATAACCTACTGCGGGATGGTGAATGCCCCAAATTTCTTAATGTAGGCTGGCATCACAGGTTCACTGGCTAAGCTCTCACCATGCAGTGAGCAAAACTTAAGTCTCATTTTTGCAGTTTTAGCAAAAGTAGTGCAAACAGGCCTCTGCCAGGCACATCATAAACATTCCCCTTTGCACGGGTCGGGGGGTAAAACCTCACCTCGCATTCCTTTGTGGCTTGATTCATCAAGTTCACAATTGAAGCGAATGCTGCACTGAGACGTTCTGAATCTTCTTCCTGCAATTAAAGACATCTTTTGTAACTCATAATGTGGTGCTCGTTGCTTAGAGGTAGAAAGTGTCAGGTGATTAAATAGCAAAATGCTCGCTAGTGCTGGAGGGTGTCTCTGGGGTGGAACAGTCATGTGTGGCCCTCCACTGTGGTGCTTAGCTTTAACGCAGCGTGCACACCGGCCTTCCAACGCCCCCCGTGTGCACCAGGCAAGACCGAGGCACTTGCTACGCCCAAGAGGTCACCGGATGGGGCAATTGCCTCACCCCGCCATCCTGCAAGGCACTGGTAATTTATTGGTAAGCGCCCCGCACCGTTTCACGCTGGCTTTGACTAGATAAAACGCAGGGGGAAGTAACCAAGTGTGACGTATTTTAAAATGCCTCTACCTCATTAAAGCACATCTATGGCTCAGTCCCACGCGTACAAATACACAGACTAGGCCTCTACAGGACACGAGCTATCCTGCCACCATTTAAGGACGCAGCTCCTCGGCGCTTCTTAGTTATGCTGTTGCATTTCTGCC